GTGGTCAAGAATTGATATGATGTGGATATCAACAGAGCTAACACTCAAATCACTTAAGACAGACATAGATATAAGCACATGGGCAGATCACAACCCAATATCAATGACCTGGAAGGGACAGAGGAAAAAGGGGAGATGGACTTTAAACTCAAGAATACTGAAAGAAAAAAGTTTTCAGCAATATATGGAAAAAGAATTGACATATTTCTTCCAGGAAAACAGAAAGGAAGACACATCATTACAGAACATATGGGACATTTGTAAAGCATATATCAGAGCCCTTGCAATGACATATTTAGGGAAAAAGAATAGACAGAACAGACAAATTCAAAATAAGTTGGAATCAGAGTACAAAAGTTTGGAGACCGAGCTGCAGAAAAACCCACAAAATAAAAAAGTAAAAAAATATGATGGAACTGCAAAAACATAAATTGAACCTGATAGAAAGTGAGGACTTGGCAAATAAAATAAAATCAGCAAAACAAAACTTTTTTGAAAATGCAAATAAACCAGGAAGTTGGCTGGCTTACAAGATGAAAAAGGAAAGAGAAAAAAGGCTGATAAGCCAATTGGTGGATGGAGAAGGGAATCTACAATAAGTTGTATCAACATGAGAGGGTTCCAGAAGAGAAAATAAGACAACATTTAGAGAAAACTAGAATAACCAAAATCCCAGAAAAATTTAAGAAGGCACTAGAAGAAAGAATTACAATGATGGAGGTAACAGAAGCCGTCAAAAGGCAAAAGAAGGGGAAAACACCAGGACCAGATGGATTACTGGCAGAACTGTACCAAACACTACAAGAAGTACTGAGCAAGGTAATGTTGGAACTATTTAATGACTTATTAAGCAAGGCAAGAATGCCAGAAACATGGACGTAGTATAACACTTATACTAAAAGAAGAGTCAGATCTACAAGTAAAGAACTATAGACCTATTTCACTATTAAATGCGGATTATAAAACTTTTGTATCAATAATGGCAGAAAGAATGAAGAGACTTTTAAATGAATTTATAAACATAGACCAAAATGGATTCCTCCCCAAGAGACAGATCAGAGACAATATGTGAATTGTATTGAACACGCTAGAGTACTATGAAGCCCACCCAGAAAAGCGAATGGTGTTGTTGTTTCTGGATGCTCAAAAGACCTTTGATAACGTGAACTGGCAATTTATGACACTGCAACTTCAAATGATGGGTTTTGGCGAGGGATTTATAAATATGATTAAAATGATATATAATAACCCATCGGCAAAGGTAATGGTAAATGGTGATATGACAGGAAAGATAGCGATTACAAAGGGAACTAGACAAGGATGTCCACTATCACCCATTATTATTTATACTGACACTAGAGATTTTGAATAGAGAAATACGACAAAATAAAGAGGTAAAAGGGATGAGGGTCAAGAAAGAAGAGTATAAATTACAAGCGTTTGTGGATGATTTGGTGTTTATTATGGAGGATCCAATAGAAACAGGGCCCAAACTAGTTAAAATAATAGAAGAATATGGAGAAGTAGTGGGCTTGAAGATTAATAAAGATAAAACAAAAATTCTGGTGAAAAATATGACAGAAAAACAGAAAAGAGAGTTGATGGGGAAACTGGACATACAA